TTGTCTCCACGTTCATTCCTCACATCACCCATCAGCACGAGATTCTAGCGGGTTCAGCGGATCTGTTCGTAGCTTGCTGTGCCACACCTCGAAACGCTAGTTGTAGTGACGACCACTAAATCGGCCCCATCTCAGCTCACCAGCCTCGGTCTCCAAGCCTCATCGTGCCATCCGATGGAACCTCGATCCCAGATGACCCCGAATCCGCGGCGACTCTCAACCTCCATCCTCGAACCCGTCATGTCGCTCGCTTCGCAGTCACCAGCCATCTCCAACCCGTTTGCGCCCCTCTGCACCCCCGTCCCGCGTCCTGACACAGACGACTCGTCTTCAACACCATCCTCGTCTGCATCTCCGTCTCAGTCTGACCCTTCCTCTCATTCATCCACCGCCATGGCCGCCTCCGCCTCTGCCGCCGCCTCCGCCTCCAAAAACCCCTTTCCCACCCCCAAGCTACGCCTCGAGATTCGCGATCTCAACCACGCCGGCGCAACCGCCTTCCTCGCGACGACGACAGCCTCGACCCTTCTCCAAGACGCCATCGCCAACGTCCTGCGCCTCCTCTACAGCACGCCTTCGACCCCGGACACGACGGCGCCCCCGACCCGCTCCGTGACCGTCATCCTGCGCGCCATGCCCGGCGTGGCCTACACGACGGGCTCCGACCTCGACGCCGACCACAAGGAGATCCACTTCTCGCTGTCCTACATCGCCGGCATCCCCGCCGACCGCCGCACCGCCGAGATCACCGGCGTCCTGACCCACGAGCTGGTCCACTGCTACCAGTGGAACGCCCGCGGCACCTGTCCCGGCGGCCTCATCGAGGGCGTCGCCGACTGGGTCCGCCTGCGCTGCCGCCTGTCGCCGCCCCACTGGAAGCGGGAGACGGACGGCCGCTGGGACGGCGGCTACCAGCACACGGCCTACTTCCTCGACTACCTCGAGCGCCGCTTCGGCGACGGCACCGTCCGCCGCCTCAACGAGAAGCTGAGGTCCGCCCAGTACCACGAAAAGGCCTTTTGGACCGAGCTGCTCGGCCGGCCCGTCGACCAGCTGTGGGGGGACTACGCCGACAAGGTGAGGGACGATGAGACGGTCATTGTCAACAAGGACGACATTTCGGATGATGATGTGAGGTTGGGGCTGAGGGACGGGGCCGCGGCGGTCGAGGGCAAACTAGATGGACAAGACGCAAGGTAGGTAAGCAAGTAGAGTTTCCCATTATTTAGAAAGCAAGCGTTATATATGCGTGTATTGTATGTGCGTGATCGAGAGTCACCTACTCACGTTGGATGGAAACACGACGAGAGAGGGAAACAATGTCTTGTAGCGTTTGCACCGACGAATGAAACTCTGAATACACCGCTCCCGAGGACCAATACCGAGGCCTAAACCATAAAAACCCAAACGCCTAGCCCAATTCCACCGTATTCCGCCTGAAATGCCCATTTTGCCGATCGCCCGACTCTCCGCCTTTCATGAGGCGGCCATGTACTCCTCAGAGAAGCAGGCACGGGTATGACGAGCGTGGTCGCGAACTCATGCGCGCAGAGGCTCGTTGTGCTGCATGTCGTTCTCGCTGACGACGCTGCCGACTTCAGACCAGCTCGCTGGTGTCATCATACCCTCACTCTCGCTGAGAACGTCGTACGGACGGCTGTTGTCGCCGCCCCTGGAAGACACCGTGTCGTTGGCAATGTCCTCGCCGGAGCCGGCGAGCGAAACCGAGTCGGTCGGCGTCAAAACACCCTCGCTGACCATCTCGGGCTCGGACATGGGAGCGGCGGGCGACATGGGCAGGGGCGAGTAAAAGTTGGAGCTCGAACCCTGGGCCCAGGCCTGGATGGAAGCGTACGCCTCGGAGGCACTATGGTCATCCTGGTCCTGGCCTGCCGTCATGTACTCGTCCTGGTCAAGCTCGCGGTCGAGCGTGGTCGAGCGCTCTGTCGCCGTGTCATTGTCAGTGGTCACATCCACGAGGTCCGGCGTGGCGGTGGAGAGGGCGACAGAGAGATTGGGAGGGGCGTCATCGGCATCGCGGGTCGTGGCGCTGTAAATGTCTGACATGGAATCATCGTGATGGGGTGCGACGTTATTGGCGTTGTCAAAGAGCTCCACAGGATCGATTCGGTACTCGTCGTCAAAAGGGTTGGCGAGCGCCGCCGCCGCCGCCGCTGCAGCGAGGCCGCGGGCGCCCTCGTTGCGGCGTCGGACCTGAGCCTCGCCCTCGTTGACATTTGCGCCTGTTTTGAAAACGAACGAGTTGCTCTCGCCACTGGCGTCTTGCCGAAGAAAGTCGTCAAAGCTGGAGCCCTCGGTGGCGGCTGGCAGCTGGGCGGCGGGCGATGCCTGTTCGTCGGCCTTCCTCTGGAACTCAAGCTTGGACAGGTGAATGGCGTTCCAGTACATCAGCTCCTCTCGCTGACGACGGCGGGTTTATTCGTCGGCATCAAACACCCGGGTTGGGCCGCCGACGCCGCCCGCGTGACTCGAGGAAGCCTTGGGCATCCTCAGGCCGGTTGAACATGGGAGGGCGCTCGCCAGGCTCAACACCCTCGCCCAGCGAATGTAGGGCCATGGCGATGCGTCTGCGGATGTCATCGGTATAGCGTCGGAGCTCAGGGGACTCGTAAATGGCGATGGCTGCGGCGACAGCTACGGACACAGCGATGACGCCGGCTGAAGCAAAAGCACCATGGTTAATACCAGGCGGCATGGTGACGTGGGTGGATGTGAAGAGTATGTATGGGAAGAAGACCGGCGGGGAATGAGTGCAAGTGGGCGCCCAACTGTCAAAGAATGCAAAGGAGGGAGAAGACACGAAGCAAACCTCGAGGATCAGATAAACACAAGAATACAGAACCAGAAGGTGCTTGCGTGGACGATTCTGTTCAATCCAGTAGTTGCCCGGACGGACCAAGACAGGTCAAGCGATGGCCTTCGCCACCCTCCCCCCGTCCCGCCACCTTAGGCAGCAGACCCAACAGACAAGCACCAGAGAGAAGCGACATGACAGCGGGGTAGCGACTACTTGGTGCTCGGGACGGCTGATCTCTGCAAGGGGCATGCGCTCGCGGACATATGATCATATCTGCTCACCTTTCGCTGCGACGGGAAGAGGCATGCTGGGCCTGTCTCGAAAGAGGGTCGGTGATGTGATGGAGGAGGGTGTGTAGGGGTTTGAGAGCTCGACAGTCAGTCGGTCTCGGGCTTCTTGCAAGGTACCACCAACCAGTCTCGGCGTGCTGAGAGGGAGGCACAGCAGCGCATGAGCCTGCCTTCAGCGAGGGTAGCAGGACTCGCCATCTGCTTACGTACCGGTCCCGCTTTTCCAGTAGTGTTGCCTACAAAGCTGCACTGGAGCCCGACGGTTCACAACGCCTCTTTACAGAGGCACGAGCAAAGAGAGACAGCCTTGAGGCTACTTAACAAGGGCTCTCAAAAAAAGGGAGTCGAAGGATCATGGACGCGAGCAAAAAGTATAATTGGTCAGTATGAGGGTCGAACTCATGACCTTGGCATTATTAGTACCACGCTCTAACCAACTGAGCTAACCGACCAGTTGAGGCATTACTGCTTGTGATCGGGATGCCGGAACTAAGATACTTGTGTTGGACAGCCACCATTCGTGTCCCTTCTTTGGGGAGCTACTTTCTCTAGAACCTGCCAGGGCCTCTGCTGCAGATTTGGCGCCCCACATCTTGCAGCAAAGTCATCTGGATCATGCCCACGTTCACGATAAGAATCAAGCGCCGGCCTGCGGCAAAACCTCCCCACCTAGCCCACGATCTCACTGCTTCCCGTTGCTAGGCCCCACCTCACGATCGCTAACATGCCCACAAGAATGACCGCGGTCGACAAAACCCCTTCAATTCTTCGGCCGTAACATCAACTGGTCGGTTAGCTCAGTTGGTTAGAGCGTGGTACTAATAATGCCAAGGTCATGAGTTCGACCCTCATACTGACCAGCGATACTTTTTGCTGACAAGACCTAATTTTGCGTGTTTTGCGACGGTTGGCTGCAATCACTTTTGCTTGCTCGAGGTCCTTGTCCGAGGCTTGCACGAGAGGTTCGAGCTGTCTTCCTTCGGTAGACGTCAAGAAATAGTACCACAGGTTTCCTTACCCAAATCAAGCGATGTTCTACTAATCGAGATACTGATGATGACCAGCGTGCTGGAACGAACCTCAGACCTGACAAAACAAGGATGGATCACCATGATGAATCGCTCGCCCGGACGTAAAAATGTGACTAGAATTCCAGAATACTCTGTTCTAGATGCTTGCTAAACAGTCTGTTGATAGACTTCCAAATATTTCCACGTTCAGCCGTCGTGTGAATTGATGGTTCATAATCGATTCGGGGCGACCTTGACGCCCCCCGGCATGCCTCTTGCCGTTCAACCCAACCTGATATCTGTTGCTACGCCATCATAACGCCATGCTGCAATAATAATGAAAACCCCGGCAGACGATGTTCAGTGAGAAGAGGTCGAGTTGCCATCGGTCGACTCGGTGTTGATGGAATCAGAAGAAGACGCCCTCTGGGCCTTGGCGCGCTGGCTGAAAGGAAGTCAGATACTGCTCTGGCGAGCGTTGAACTGAGCTGGTACATACTACGAGGAGCGGTCCTGCAGGCGGCATGTGTACCTGGCCTTGCCGGCCTTGAGGACGAAGGGGATGCCAGACTCCATGGCGAGGGTAAGACGGGTCTGCTTCTCAGGCATGTTGAAGGTTGGAGAAATTGGTGGACGACTTTGATGATCGGGCACAGGAGATGTCAGGACTCTCGATGCAGATGTTGGTGATGGGCAGAACGTAGTGAACGAAGAAGACTGTCTCGATAACGTTGTAAGGTGAGGCCGGGAAAGCAGTCATATATAGGTAGATACACGACTGTCGCCTCAAACGGCCCGAAGACCGCCTCGCGAACCCTACACCGACCTTCAACGATGACCCCAACCTCCAGCCAGCATGCCGTCAATGGCGCGGCAACGACGGCAAGGAGACAGATGCGACGAGGTCGGACACGACGGGAAACGCGAGGCATTTCCGTGGTGAGGGTCCCCCCCCACACCCACTGAAGCCAGCCCATCGCATTTGCGCCGGTCAAGGGCCCACACACCACTCCCGGTCCAAACCCGGCCGCCGGCACCATGTGCCGAGGAGACCCCACGTTGACACTGGGTCAGAATTGTGGTGCGAAACCGAGGATCGAGGACCCTGGCCGACTCTGATCCATTCTTTGTTTCTGGAAACCCCGACGACACCGGTCATCGCACGTCCTGAGTAATGGGTCGAAACCGAGGCTCGACAGTGATCCTCATTTGCCTCATTTCCTAGGATTGCGGTGGATGCGAGGCGTCGGGTCGCGTGGTCTTTCTCTGACCGATCATTTTGAGCCTCCAAATCGGATGTCGGTGCCGGGTCCCAACGCCACTATCACAACGTGTCATCGTGTCGCTTTCCGATGGCCAATCCTCAGAAGTTGCAAGGACGGTGCCGTGACTCGAATTGAAGAAAAACGTGGGGGAGACATGTCTTTGACGCTTACCGATGAACATAAGGCGCAATATGCTTTGAACTCTCCGAAGCCACTGCGCGCCAGATCGTCCCGTAACCCCCCGCCTCCGCCGACGCAGCACGCATCTGTACTGTGCGACGTTGGGAGCCGTTCGATCCGAGCAAGATGCACCGAACTGATTATGATTACCTGCGAGGCGTCCCGACGACCGGAAGCATCGTCATTGGGCCACAGTCGGACGCATGACTAGCTTCCTCTGTCCCCCGAATCAAAGACGATGACTGCAAAGTGTCACGGTGGACGAAGAAGCGTGCAGAGTCGGCCACGGACACAATGTTCGTCGGGCTGAGACAGCTGCCTCCAAAACGGGTTCGGTGTTGACGTCGGCATCGCGGGGCGGTAACAGAATGCTTCCGTGACCTACCGCAGCGGTAGGTAGTGACAGCTTGCTTTGAAGACAGCCTGATACGCTGCATGCGGTAACAACCAGAGCTATCCTCAGACAACCCATGCAGCTGGCATACTTCCCGTAGCGTCGCCAGATAGTCTGACAGGTGGTTGCCCATCCGGACATCAATCACCTCCACCTCGCCAATCGGGATAAAGGTTCGCCGACAAGACTGAAACCGGAGGACCTTGGAAAAGGCAGTAATATGCTAGGTACCAACGACTTTGCATCGTTCTGCTCCATTCTCCGGTGTCTAGCTGTAGGCTTCATCGGGGACTTGCCGCGGGCAAAACACTGGGCTATCCTGGATTCCCACACAACAGTCCAGGTCGTAAAAAATAGACAAATGAATCACATAGTATCACGGAATCCCACACTCTAAATCTTGCGTGAGAACCTTATGACCCTGCACACACAAGGCCGACAGCTTCCAAGGATTTACCAAACGGCAAAGTAGCAGATTGAATCGCCATGGGCTTTGCCGTCATCACTCTCAGCGACATGGGGTAACTAGTCGGCGTAGTCTCTTGGACGGCCTCTTTCGTGTGTGTGTGTCTCTCTCTCTCTCGCATACAACGTTCTCGTGTACAACGTTACCAAGCTCCGGCATGACGCTTAGAAAGGCCATATGCGTTTTTTCCGTTAGCAAAGTGCGAGGATGTTCCGAGTCGGAGCGTGGCTTCTACCGTTCATGTTCAAGCAGCGAAACATATCATTTGCTGAGGGGTTTGACGGGAGAAGGGGGGGACATTGAGGGACACTGCTAGACCAGAGCCTTGCGCTATGGGCATGAAGTCAAGCCCCTCCCCGCTGAGAGTGGGGACGTTGACGCCTCTCTACATGTTAGTCCGTCAAGACCCTTTGCATTGGATTATAGAAATGTTGCGTACATCCCTGTCACCTGTCAGTTGCGTCACGTCGGTGAGATGCTGACAGCTTGAGCCGCAGCGTATGGGCCAAAGAAACCCGCCCTGCATTCCACTTGACGTCTGATGCACGGCCACGTTCTTGGAGGCGCAGACAAGCTTTCGCGGGCCGCCGATCCCCCCCGGGCTCTTCTCGTCCTGCAGAAGAAGCGATCGAGATCACGCGCCAACAGCAGCAAAGCGAGAGCGGGTGTGTCATCTTTTCGAGCGGCACGACCAACGGCCATGCGTGCCCATTTTGCGCCCAGCACATGCCGCCGCCTAAACATACATTCGATCACGTCGGAATCGCGCGCACACAGACCGGCTGGTCAAACCCAAGCTCATCCCATTCATGAAAAAGCTATACTAACGTTAAAAAGAGGTGTTTTTGTACAGTCTACGACGGTACTACCCTGAATGCGCGTCGTGGAGTATCTAATCGGTCGTCGTCGTCCTTTACAGCTTGGAAATAATGGCAGAAGCAAACTCGTGAGTCTTGGCCTTGCCGCCAAGGTCACCGGTGAGCGCCTTGCCCTCGGCAAGGGTGGCGAAGGCGGCCTTCTCGATCCTGTCGGCGTACTCGGTCAGGTTCATGTGCCTCAGCATCATCATGGAGCTGAGGAGGAGGGCGGTGGGGTTGGCGAGGCCCTGGCCGGCAATGTCGGGGGCGGAGCCGTGGACGGCCTCGAAGATGGAGCACTCGTCGCCGATGTTGCCGGAAGGAGTGAGGCCGAGACCGCCGATGAGACCGGCGCACATGTCGGACAGAATGTCACCGTACAGGTTGGGCATGACGAGGACCTTGTCGTTGTAGGGGAGGGGGTCGGTGACCATCTTGAGGCACGAGTTGTCGAGGAGCTCGGCGTCGAACTCAATGTTGGGGAAGTCCTTGGCGACCTCGCGGGCGACGTTGAGGAAGAGACCGTCAGACATCTTCATGATGGTGGCCTTGTGGACGACGCGGACCTTCTTGCGGCCGATCGACTCGGCGTGCTGGAAGGCGTAACGGAGGACGCGCTCGCTGGCCTCGCGGGTGATGAGCTTGATGCTCTGGACGACGCCATCAACGACGACGTGCTCGATGCCCGAGTACTCGCCCTCGGTGTTCTCGCGGATGAGGACAGTGTCAACACCGTCGTAGGGGGTCTTGTAGCCAGCAATGGAGCGGCAGGGGCGCAGGTTGGCGAAGAGGTTGAAAGTGCGGCGGAGAGTCAGGTTGAGAGAGACATGACCCTTGCCGATGGGGGTCTAGAAGATCATGTCAGAAATGGACCGGTGATCCGGGACTTTGCCCAGATGGCTGCGATGGTAGACTTACGGCCAGGGGACCCTTAAGGGCAATCTTGTTCCTCTTGATGCTCTCAATGGCAGCATCGGGAATGGCAGTCTTGCCGTCCTTCAGGATGGGGGTGACATCGATAGGCTCCCAAGAGATGGGGGCCTTGGTAACCGCGTTAGCATGGTTTGCGCAGACAAAGGTTCTCTCGCCCAATTGAACGTACCTTGGCAGCAGCGAAGATGTTCTTGACGGCGTCCGAGATCTCGGGGCCGATACCGTCACCCTCAATCAAGCTGACGGGGTACTTGCCCTATGCGATTGTTAGACACGTTGCTGTCGTATCCCTCGCCACAGCCCACTGAGTGATTTTACTCGGCTCAAAGGACAGCACTTAGGGGACCGGGGGCGAGAGGGAGGCGTACGCTGGCATCCTTGACACCGTTGAACTTGGCGACACGATCGCCCTGGGCGGAGTAGAACCTCTGTGGCCAATGGTCAGCAAAGCAGCAAAGGCGAGCGATGGGCGGGTTCGAAGCGCACCTGGAAGGCGACAACGCCAGCGGCGCGGGGCGCGACGCGGAGGGACTGCCTGCCAATGGGCGCAGAGAAAGCACGGGCGGCCAGCATTGTGAAGGTTTGGGAGGGAATTGGATGAGCCTGGCTGCTGCGCGTGTGACGGAAAGGCTGAACGGGAGGAGGGACGTTATCGAGCTTTCGAGATTCGAGATTCGGAGGTGGAGGATTGGTCTGGAGGTCGGTTGCAAAGAAATCGAAAAACCGACGGCATTAGCAAGGCCGAGCCGATCCGCCTAAACTGCGACGAATTCCGAGATGTCAGCCACATGTGGCGCATACCCACCCTCCTGCCCGACTCGTTCCGGTTGTGTTCGGCTCAAAAGAGAGAAAGCGTCCGCGTCGTCCTTAGGTAAGCAGGTCGCTTGTCCGAGTCGCGGCGACCCTGTTGTGCTTGGCTTGGCCTCGCATGTTTGGTGAGGAAACAGACGTGAGGCAGATGGAGGGGCATTCAGGCATTGTCTACCTGCTTGTGCTCAAGCATCATTTCATACTGGCTACTACCCACACGAGGTCGCTGATATTCTGGATCTGTTGTGAACTAAAATTTCCGTGCCGTAAATCGTCCTTCCTGCGGGCTTTCCAACCAGCAGGCAACTACACTGCACCTCAAGGGCACCGAAGGGCTGGCTGGGAACAGGTCCTGGTTGGTACCTTGCATTCGACAACACCAAAAGAACATAAAAAAACCAAACGAAAAAGAGAAAGAAACAATGGCTCCCAGAATGGCACGGCCCGTATTTTTGTTTTCTAAATTAGAATACCAAGCTTCATCTCACTGCGCTGACTTCCAAGCTCGAAATACAGAGTCAAGCTTGCTGGTAGCCAATCAGCAACGCCCTGGATGAAGCTGTTCCATCCACACCCCTCGTCGCCATCTCTAACAATCCATCTCCACTATGAGCTTGACCATCAGTCGCAGACACGCGCCGTCCGCATACCAACTCGTCCACCTTTAATATTTCGATACAACTCTCCCCCATAAAGTACGCGTTGGTGATTATTCGGGTCGCCTCAATACCGCCTGCTTGGCTCTCCTGCCCACGCAGAACACCCCAATGCGCCAGTCATCGCCCAACAAGCCCAACTTGTCATGAACAGCCCCTGTCGCTGATTGATCGCAAGCCACCAAAATGGCTGACTACGAGCGAAGCGTACTCGAATTCTACGGCCTACCAAACCCATACCCAAATGAATGGCCAGACGAAAAGAACAACAGCGACGGGTCAGATGCGGAGGAGGAGAAGCAGACAAAGCTGGGAAGGAGAAAATCCAGATATCAGGCGCTTGAGAGGGCCGTGAGCGACCGCAGGAGCACCATACCTGGCGCTCAGTCTGAGAAGGGAGGAGTAGGGAACATTGTCCAGAAGGATGAGCCAGATCCGCTGGGCACAACCGACAGCGTTGTGAGGACACTGCGCCAGCTCGGTGTGCCCGTTCAAGATGACGCACGTCTTCGTGAGTTCTTCCAGTAGCAGATGCACCCCCGAGCTGTCTGAGAGCAAGCACCTAATCATATCGTGATAGGCAACCGCTTCCTTCTCTCGTCGACGACCTTTTCCCCCGCGCTCTTTTTGTCGCAGATGCATGCCACAGCAGACACCCAAAGCCTGCTCATGGGTCTTGATGTTCTCTCCCAATCCATCGACCAGAAGTCAGCCTCTCTGAAAGTCTTGGTGGAAACAAACTTCGAGCGCTTCGTCAAGGCCAAAGCAACTATAGATAATGTCTACCGAGAGATGAAGTACCGTGGGACGGAGCCACCTTCGACACCAGGACGACACCAACGCGGCCATTCTCGACATGCTAGCAGGAGTAGTTTCCGGAACAGCAGCGGTGGCATGGCACTGGCTGGCAACTCGATGGCATCTCCTGGAGTCGACGTACGAAAGAAAAACGCCATCGTGAAGGAGAGCGAGTACGGTGTAATGGGCATCAAGGGTCCGCTCCTTGATGTCTCGGCCAAAGCCGAGGATGTATGGGGACCAGCGCTTGGCGGGCGTGAGAAAGAAGAGAACCTCAGAATTGTGTCTAGTCAACTGGACCAGTTCAAAGACTGTGTAGAGCTGAGTGCCTCCATATCGGACAGCATCAGACGACGTGACTACGAAAGCTTGGTGGAGGAGTACAACAAGGCGAGGCGCTTTGCGGATCAAGCCCGAAACCTGGCGCAGTCGATTGGTTCCGATGCCGCCAGCGACACTCAGCTGTACAAAATCTTGGTTGCTGCCAGGATGTGGCATGACGTTGACGAGCAGGTCCAGCAGTTCAGGCGCGACAACTTCAGAAGGCTCATCTCCCTGCACACCCTCTCCAAAGCAGAGATCAAGGCTGCTGGACAGTCACAGGACCAGCACATCGAGTTGATTGGCTTGCTATTGGAGCTCGGCGTTGAGGACAACCCAATTTGGCTATGGCTCGCAAGTCGCTATGATTACCTCAAGGGGAAGATTCAGCTCACTGCTGACCGATCCAAAGTTGAGATTGAGGTCCTTCGACGCCGACTTGCGAACGGTGAGAAGCCGGCGCCGCATCTCATTGCGTCACACCTCCGAGCTCTGGGACACCAGTCGGTGGACAACAAGTCGTCATCACTCGACACAGCTGACATAATCGAGCTATGGGAGAAAATGGTCGTCTTCTTATCAAGTCTGCTCTCCTCGACCGGCATCCTCGGCGAAGTAGTCGAATTCTGGACCACTGTTCAGGGCTTCGTGGAAGGCACAGCCCAACGAACACTACCTGGTGGTTACAATGGAGAATCGCGGGTGCATCACAGGCTTTCAGACCAGGCTGTCACCGACCTGCGGAAGGGCGTGGTCGAGCTTGTCGACATGATTCGCGAAACAGTGTTCACATTCTTCGCAGGCCCTCCACCAGAGGACATCTCCCTCCTGTTCTCGCCGCTTCCCATGTCTCCCAACACCCCCAAATCAGCCACCATGTCGGGCTCTCTGACACCCAACGCAATGCGCGATCCTCGGTTTAATTTTGATGTCAATAACATCCCGCCGCCATCCCCCAAGAGGGGTGATGCCTGGGAGAAGTTTGCCTTCTGGCCACCATGGTCAAACTCAGTCAGTGGCGTCCACTACCTATCCAAGATGCTTGCCCTCGTAGGATCCGGTGCTTCTGACCTGGCGAGCATCAACCCAGTCCAGGCCGGGGATGGCAGCACGCTGGAAAGGCTCAGGACACTTGTTGGAGCAGCTCGAGAGAGGTGTGCGACTGCAATTTGCGGTGCCTGGAACAAGGACGCAGAGAATATCAAGTACGTCGAGGACTGGTACAGATCTCCCGATCTCGGAGATGTCACGAGAATGCCGTCCAGTTTTGCCACCTTCGAAGGCGCCCTGTTGGCGGGCATGCAGAAGATTTTGTACATTTCCGAGGCCATGGCCAAGCCTGGCGCAGGGGATATTGTCCTCCCGCCTCCGTCCAAGCTGCTCCAGATGGTCCGAAGCCAATACGTCTCCACACTGTACAAGGCACTTAGCGGCATGGTCGAGAATGCTGAGCGTGCTGTGAAGAAGGGCGACGACGAATGGACCACCGAAGCCGAAAATTCAATCGCGACGACTGCGCCGCCTCCAGCAAACGGCGGGCGTGGTACCCTCGACGCAGGCAACCGGGTAGGTTTTTGGCCTCTTCTGCGATCTGTATGGACTGTCATGCTAATTTTCTCAGAACATCCGCATGCTTGTCACCCTCAGTAACCTGCAAGCCCTCCGATCTCAAGTTGTGCCGAGCCTCAACACGCAATTCGAGAACGCCTTCTCCGTCAAGCTGACGGATGAGTCTAAAACGATTCGCGACGTCCTGGGACAAATTGACGCCCGCCTCTTCCAGTCGTACACACGCTCTCCCCTCGAGCTGCTCCGCACCACCGTCCGCAACGGCATCGCGACCCGTGACTGGGCTGCCACTTCCGGCGACAAGCCCGGTGAGGCGAACCCCTACGTCTATGAGATTCTACTCACCCTCGTCCTCATCCACTCCCAAGTCTCTACCACGGCACCTGCCCTCGCCTCCCAGGTTCTATCCTATCTCCTCGAGCAGACGACGCGCGAGCTCCTCGAGGCCTTCCGTTCGCACGAACGGTTCACTCTAGCCGGCCTCATGCAAGCAACCCTCGACGTCGAGTTCATCGCCCAAACGCTGAGCCAGTACACCACGGACCGCGCCTCTCAGCTGCAGAGCGAGATTTACCAGGAACTCGATGCCCGCACCGACAACGACGCGCGTGCGAGACTGCAGAGCGAGCTGCCTGAGATGCGAAGCGTGCTCAAGCGCCTGCGTGAAGCGAGCAAAAGCGAGTTTGCCTGCTTCAAGAAGCTCAAGAATCGACCTGCAGGCGGGCCAGGCGGCGGTATCGAGAGGCGGGATACGGGCGGGTCGACTGTTTCCAACGGGAGCAGCACCGGGCCAAAGAATTAGCACGTCTTCTGGGCGAAATGGAAATGAGTATCCTGGCCGGCCATTGGTGATCTCTAAATGATTGGCAACGTTGCGGGGTGAACTTGTAGATGAGAGTTTGGCCCCTGGTGTGGCAGGTCCCGCACCCCTCGCGTGGATGTCACGAGCGTAGTATGTTGTGTCAACTCGACTTATTCATAGACTCCTCGGTGAAGAGGCTGATTCAGGTATCTAATCGAGCTCTGTCTGATCTAGTTTTGTGGAAGCCTAGAGCCAAACGGCTTTCTTCCCTCCTCTACAACTTCCTGCAATTCATTCCCGTTCAATCGTACATCATTATTGTCGTTGGTCATCATCATGGGGTGGGAGATCGCTAAGATCCCGGGCCTGCGGTTCTAGAGGTCGTCGACCGAGGCTTCGAACTTGGTCCATTCGTCATTCTATCCGGACATGGCGTGGTCCGGCCTTTGAGCTACGTCTGGAGCTGGTACGGCCGTCTGCTCGGCCACGGCATCGCTCTCCTGCCGCGGGAGCAGAACTATGCCAGAGAACTGGAACTCGAGGGAGCTTGAGCTTCGCGGGGTAAAAGAGTTTCCCTTGAGGCGGTCAACGACCTCATCGTCTGTCGTGCTTGTCAGCACAGGCTACACGGACATCAAACTTGAGCGAACACTTACACTGCAGGCTCAGCTTGCCGAAAAAGTCGGCAACGGCCTGGCTCTGCGGTTCGAACACCTCGAGCAGGCCTCCGTGTCCGCGAAACGTTTTGGGGTGCGCCTTCCGAAGAGCGAGAAGCATCTTGAGCAACTCGGCAATCTCCTGGCCCTGGGTGGTAAAAGCAGAAGGCGGGCGGTCAAGGGGCCAGCGCTGACGAAAGTCGTCCATCTCCCAGACTTTCATAGTCCAAGTCGTCTTCTCTAAGCAATGAAGGAGAAGTAAAATCGTGAGGTACACGTCGAAGTGCAGCGTCACCTTGCCGTTCTCGAGACAGCGCTGCAGCTCGTTGACGAGCTTCTGCGAAACGGCGTTTGCCTTTCGCTCGGCAGCGGCCGAAAGCTGCCAGGTCATGAGCGTATAGAGGTCCTGCGTGGAGCCACCGTGGTCATCGGGCTTCTTAGCGACAAACTTGCCATCCTGTTCCTCGGATATGGACCAGCTGCGCTCGTGGTCAAGGATCTCGATGAGTCCCCAGAGTTCGAGGGCACGTGTGACAAGATCGCCAGTCTTCTGCTCAGCTTTCTGAGCGAATTCGAGCACAACGCGGACAAAGTGAGAGGTTTCGCGCTCGATGAGCAAAGGCAGCATCTCGCGGACATAGGTCTCCATGCGAGCCGGTAAGTCTTCCTTGTCCTGGTCAATCATGATGGCCTGGTGTTTGACCTCCGCTTCATCCTTCTTCGCTGGCTCTGCGGCTTCCTCCTCGGCCTTCAAGTCCTCGGTGGGAGAAGCAGGCCTGGCAGTGACCAAGGCGAACAGGCTCATGGGGACGCTATCATTCCATATGGCGACGCGAATCTTGGTTCCGTTTTGAATCAGCTCAAAGGCGCTGCGTGCTTGGTTGACTCTATTCTGCGAAAGCACCACAACGAGTCCCGCAGAGTACAGCGTCAGCGACTGGTTCAAATGAGTACGCACGCAGGGGTATGTCCAGTGCCGGGGCCCGTGGATTTTCCGACATTGGTCACAAGGGTCGTTGAGACCACACGTCTTTCTTAGGATTCGGCATCTGATGCAGGCTCCCTTCTTGCGTGCGGCTTGGACCTCCTTGCGCCGAACAGGGTTGTAGGCCTTGCGTTTGTGCTCGCTCCGGACGCCATTGCCTATGGACATCCGGGTGCCGCCTCGAACATGAACGGGCGACATTGAAAGCGGTGCGGGCTGTACCTGCACCATGGGAGCAGCAGGCTGCAGGTTCAAAGGAGCTGGAGGAATCGGACTGCTATGAACATAGGACATTTCACCCCATGGCTGCTGAGGGTGGGGAGGACCTGAATGGTGAGATTCGGCGCTTACCTCTCGCATGGGCGAGGCAAGTGCGTCAGCAATTTCCTGGTTGGATGGTCCGTCACGGCTCTCGTCAAGCAGCTGGTGGTTGAGCCGTGCGGTAGCCGCAGCAACAGCAGCTACGGCAGCATTGAGACTTGCCGAGTCCTCGGGCGAGACAGCGTGGCTCTGTTGCTGGGTTGCCACTTGAAGGTGCTCAAGTTTCTGTTCTGCCGTTAAGAGGTTGGAAGCGCTCTGTTCATCAGCTTGAATTTCGTTAGCACATTCATTCTCTCAAAACCTCTCCTCAATAAGTTTCCTCCGATGAGGAACGATGCTTGGTCATGAGAGAAGATGGACTCAACTGACCTCGTTTGTCACGCTGATCCGGCAGCTCATAACTGGTGAGAGCGTCATCAATGTGCATGTGATTTGGCTTCTCTCGATGGGTGGGCTGCTCATAGCTAGGGGGTGGATTTTCAAGCGTGAATTGCTCTTGAAGTTCCAATCCGCTGGTGTGATCTGGCTGACCATGATGAGGGTTGAATTGCTGGATCGCGGGGTCGATCAGATTCCTGTTCTGGGGGACCATTTCCGTTGCCCCAACCTGGCGCGAGGCTTCAGCCAAGGTCTGCAAGGCGTCCCACGCTTCGGGAGCTTCGTTCGCTGATGCGATGCCATTGCTGGCACGAACGTGGTCGTTGAGATGGCGAGAGGCAAGGCTGCGGGCCTGCAAGCCAGAGAGGTTGAGGGCGGCATTGATGCGTTGCTCAGGTGTGATTGCTGGGCATTTTTCGGTGATGTGTTTTGTGAGAGCCTCGCCACGTCCTTTGGGGAAATTCTCACCGCACAGTTTGCATTTGTGCGGGTAGCGGTTGCTCGAGTCGGTGAGCTTGGGTCCACGGGTGAAGTATTCACAGATGATGGGATTTGGCTTGCGACCCATTCTGCCGGATCCCTTCACTATGGCGCTTGCGAGGTGCGGGAGGGTCTCCGAACACACCAGAGTAAGGTGGTCCAGACGGCAGGGCAAGTGAACAGCTTGACAGGCGACTTGGGGCAGAATTGAAGCCCCAAAATGCCGGCACGTGATGAATTGTTGGTGATGAGGTTCGGGCAAGTAGGACTTTCATGAAATTCTGCCTTCTGTGACCGACAAAATTTGTCTGACCGCTCCCCATTTTGGGACGATTCGACTGGACCCTGGAGGTTGGGAAGATTATCCGGTGGGGGTGAAGTGGGGCGGGCCATTGGTCAGGTTTATCCGCGTACCCTTCGGAACAGGTTGGATCACGTGCCTATCGAAATGCCCATCAATCAGCTGAGTAATGCGGTGACCCACGCACTCTAACACGCGGTTACCAGTTTGGCGTGTCATGTGCTGACCGTGATGCATGCCTGTAGCGCACTGTCACATTGCTAGCAGTTCCCCAGATCGCTGCCCGGCCAGTGGCCCATGAAATGCCATGAAAGTGCTGCTAGCCGAGGACCCTGACCATATCAACAAGCTGATCCTTGCGACGCCCCCAATGAAAGAAAAGCGGGATCTCTCGTATCGGCGTTCGGCAGCATCGCGGGCCCAGCCTTATTACCAAACCCTGCTTGTTTCGGGGGCCGTGGAGAGGCCCTGCGAATACCTCTTCTCGGCCAGAGTAGTGCGTCGGCCATACACAAGTGCTATCTTGGACGAGTAAGTGGGCACAAATGGTGGCAAACTGGCTGCAAAGCGTCTATGAGGCTTATCCAGCAACCAGATGCCCTGCCTCAACACGAATAGCGTAGCTGTCACGGGCCGCAGATTGCTTGGTGGACAGGTTAAGCTCGGCACGTGGTCGTAACGGCGCCCTGGAGTAGAGGAGGATTCGACCGCCAACATCTTGGCCCTATTTCCGGAGTCTCGGCATCGCCAGGTTATTGGCCAGTCCCCTGGCCCTGCCACGATTTTAACCACAGCTGGTGTCAGCTTAGTAGTCCGGGGCGCGAAACTCGGGTCGCCTGGGGGCCAACTGATGCAGGTTTCTGTGCCTCATGCTGTATTTACTCACGCTCAGCATCCCACACTCCTAAGCCTCCTTCCTGCTTACCACGTTAGGCAGGACAAGACGAAAAGGGAAATAGCCCACCAGGGTCATCGGCGGCACAGCAAGCACAGCCTGAATCTCTGTCTGCCTTCAATCCTCTTACAACATGGGATTCTTGAGATGCTAACGACGAGGCGCATCAGGTCGACAAACTAAGAAGCTCGATGATCGGACTGCATGACACAAGCAAAGAACTCGTCTCGTCAACTGCTCTACACGCCACCCCCAGGAACAACCAACATTCCAGCCCCCTCCCCTCCCCACCTTGAATTTCCCCCCTGATTTGTCGTTGTGGAAGTGCCGCGTCTTCGTCTAGCCTGGGCTGACGGTTTTGTGGGTGTGCAGCCATGGCATGTCAAGCCAAGAGTCCCCAAACCTCTCACCATCCGCCCATCTTTGTCAAAAAATGTAGCGGCCAGAACGGGCAAACGGCATGGAAGCCCAGGCTGCCGCCTGGCTATCATGTAGCTAGACGTAAATCAGGCCAAGTCCTATGGGCGGTCGGCCGTGACTGGCCATAGCTTATCCAGTTCTTGTACATTACCTCGTCGCCTCTATCCCTATTACTCTGGTGCCGTACCTCCGTTCATCCCTCTTCTCACAACATGGCCATTATATCTGGCTTGCCTGTGTCCACACGCCGATTGATTCGCAACCGCAGGCTTTGATTGAACATCACACGGAATTCGCGAGCCTTTCTACACATCTGACAGAGACTGGGCCCACCTGTGTGCACAGGCATATCTCGCGAGCTTGTTCTCAGCGGCCTTCGAGTGTCTTGATGTCTGCTTGCGGGACAAGAATCTGCTGCGTGGTCAGTTGCAAACCTTGAGCTACACCAACTATCTTGCGCAAACAAGAGAACTTGGGCGCGAAGGGTTCCATCACTGTTCTGCGGACATTTCACTTGCCAGCCATCGTCATGTTATTCGTTGGTATTTTCTTGCTAGCTACAGTTGCTACAGTATCTGCGAGCAAAAGACGTCACGACCTTTCAAGCTATGTCTTGACAGATGTAAGGCTTCGTTGATAATGTGTTGTTTCTTAGCCAATCCATAGCACGCTACTAACACACTTGGTCAAGACAGGGACCGTGAAAGGCGGCAACGCTTTCCCAGGAGTGTCGCGACCATTTGGTATGGTCAAACTCGGACCTGATCTCGAAAACGGACGAGACAGTTACTCTGGATTCCAGCCCGATGGCGAGTTTACTGGCTTCTCCATGCTCCACGAACATGGCACCGGCGGAGCACCCAAATACGGAGTCGTCAGCCAGATGCCAGTGGTCGGCGATATTTCCAATCCAATTGGAGTTACAGCCACCAGAAAGCATGATGATGTGACGGAAGTAGGTTACTACAAGGCATCGCTAGGATCTGGGGTGGTCGTCGAGCTAGGAGCCACCGACAGGGCGGGGCATGTTTAGGTACCGATTCCCCAAAGACGGAACTGACGCCCAGATCGTTGTCGATGTCTCCCATGTTCTGCCATCATATCGGGGTCAGGGTCTCGGGCAGAACTACCTGGGCGGGAGCATCACCGTAGAGCAGGATGGAAACATGCAAACCAGATATACCGGCCATGGAACATATGACAATGTGAGTCCGATCCTGCCGATGTGTTTAGAGGACGAAGTTGATGGAATTTCCAGGGCTGGAACCGGGCAGCACCCTGGAGCGTCTATTTCTGTGGTTACTTCGATAGCCAGGCTACATGGAAGACATTTCTCAGCAAAGACCGCAAGACGGACGAGATCATCATGTTTGGAAGCGACAATGCCACGATCAAGTCCTCCGAGGGGCGGCTTGGTGCCAGCTTTGCTTTCGATGACACCGACATCACTTCTCGAGTTGGGGTGTCTTTCATTTCTGCACAGCAAGCATGTGAAAACGTCGACCGCGAGATACCGAGTGGCACAAGTCTTGAGACGTTGAGAAATCAGACACGAGACGTATGGAATACCGAGATACTGGGCAAGGTGACGTCTACCGACAAAGACGAACGGAAACTGAATCAGCTCTACACGGCGCTCTATTTTATGCATCTTTTGCCCCAGAATAAGACGGGCGAAAACCCGCTATGGAAATCGGAAGAACCTTATTACGACGACATTTTTACCTTTTGGGATACGTTTCGTTGTACAACCTCTCTTATGCACATCATCCACCCTACCGCCCACGAAGAGTTTATCCGGTCTCTCATCGATATATTCCGCTTCGAGGGCTATGTGTCTGATGCGCGCTCCTCATTCTGGAACGGCGCAGTACAAGCCGGATCTAACAGCGACAACGTGCTGGCCGATGCCTACATAAAGGGTGTCAGGGGCAAGGTCAACTGGGAAGACGGCTTTGCGGCCATGGTGAAAAATGCCGAAGTGACCCCCGATAACAACGACGATCCTCGAGACCCTTTTGGCTCGACAAAAGAAGGTCGGGGCGCCCTGCCTGACTGGCTAGAGCATGGATACATCACCCCGAAGTTCACTCGTTCACTGACGCGTGCCGTCGAATACTCAGTCAACGACTTTGCTCTACACCAAGTTGCCGCTGGGCTAGGCAAGGTGGAAGAGGCGGAGATATACCTCAACCGCTCCCGCAACTGGCGTAATCAATGGAATCCGGATCTCGAGGCACTGGGCTTTCGTGGGTTCCTGGGCCCGCGTGACGAGAAAAGTGGCGCGTGGCTCGATCACGACCCTCTGGACTGCGGCGGCTGCTACTGGGGAGATCTGCTCTATCAAGGCCTCTCCTGGGAGTATTCGTTCAACGCACATCACGATCTGTCCCACCTCATTGATCTCGCAGGCGGCAACCACACTTTCCGCGACCGTCTCGAAAAGACGTTCGAGCCGGGTCAGTACAAAGGCAACGACCAATTTGGGCACACCATATTTAATCCTGGCAACGAACCAAGCTTCGGCACCCCCTATCTGTACAACTTTGTGGGCAGGCCGGACCTGTCCATCGAAAGGAGCCGTTTCATCGCCCACAAGTACTACAAGCCCACTCCCGACGGTCTGCCCGGAAATTCAGATGCGGGTGCAATGGAGTCGTGGCTTCTCTGGAGTATGCTGGGCATGTACCCTTTGACCGGCCAGACCACATTCCTCATCGTCGCGCCCTGGTTCTCCGATCTCACCATCCATCTCAGCGGAGGCAAGACGCTGCAAATCATAGCGACGGGCATTGATGAGGCGAACAAATCTTGGCACGTTCAATCCCTCAAAGTCAACGGAAAACCGTGGACCCGCAGCTGGGTCACATGGGGTGACGTCTTTGCCGAAGGGGGCACAATGGAGTTCGAGCTCGGCCGCGAAGCGAAAGAATGGGCGACTGGCCCTCTACCACCAGCGCCTGCAAGTGAAGGATACAGGCCCCTACCACCTGTAGAGTTTCCAAACAAACATGTCGGACAAGGTCCACTACCACCACCATCGAGCGAGGGGCAGGATGACACGGAGCTCAGGGCCATATACATCGCCATCGGTGCTAGCGTAGCCGGCATGGCCATTTTGAGTGGTACCATCCTTCTTGGCATGTGGCTTCTTGCTCGCAGAAAGAAGCATACCGCCCAGACGATGGGAAGTTCTGTCGATGACGTCCCGGGGACAGCTTCCCGCCCGCGGGTGATCGAGCGACTTTTCCAGCAGCGACCTCTTTTACAGCATGGGGAGCAAGAGCTCAGTGAACGAACGAGCAGCGGATCATTGTCACCAGAGCCAGGCAAGCCCTACAGAGATGTGTTACGCGAGTAGACCAGGCTTCAAGCACACAAGCGATTCCCCCCAAGAATATGTAGCAACAACAAGCGATATCAATACCAACAATGATTGATGAAACGTAAAATGGGGAAGGTAACCTAAACGCCTATTCGCTATGCTGACCCGGCATTCGCTGTGTATAGTGACCAAACTTAACTGTGTGCAAAGCTCAAGATGTACGCAGGCTAACGATCGCGCTGGTCGCCTCCATCCCACACGTTACGGAACTCCTCCTCATCGCCGACGCGGAATCGTAGATCTGGTTCGTCTTCCGATTCGTCCTTATTCGCCCACGGCGAGGACTCGTGGGACGCGGCCTGCTTCTGGGGTGCAGCTGCCGGCTTCTTCTTGTCGTCTTTGGTCTTGGAAGAAGCAACTGTCTCAACGCTTTCGCTCTCGGCGGCTGTCGCATGAACTGTCTTGGGCGACTGAACCCTGGGCGTTGAAACATTTGAGGAGGTCGCTGCTGGGCCAGCGGTTGGAGAGGAGTGATCGGGGATAAGACCTTGTCCAGAGAGCTTCGGAGCGGGAATGCGTTTCTGCTTCTGCTTCTGTTTCTGCTTCTTCGGCCTGCTGCTGACGACGGCTGGCTCGCTAGACTGATGGCTGTTCTGTGAGTATGTGCGCGGGCCCTGGGGCCTGGAGGGCTGGTAGCGGTAGTTGCCGTCTGCAGCTCGAGCGTAACGCTCTCGCAGCGGTTCATGGGCAGTGATGACGGGGTACTGGGTCTGTCAGAACGCATCTTGCGCAAGGGTTCACCAATGACCTACATTCCAATCCCCATATTCGAGCTCTCTTGCTTTGGCGTAGAGCTCCTCTTCTTCGGGGTCTTTGTTCTCCTCATCAATGTCGTGGAATGTGCCATTTTCGAAATTGTACTCCTCGCTTGGCCCTCCAGCAGTGCCAGATAGTAGGGGATCGCGTTCATTGAGGTCATGGTTGACCTGTCGGTCGACCTGACCGGGCGTCGGAATCCAGTACTTGCCCTTGCCACCGCGCTGGTACCGCATACCTTCTTTCAGCCTCCCAAGCCTGGCACGCGACTCCTCGTGCGGCATGATCTTGTCACCTGAATCGTATATGCGGTAGTTGTACTGGTCACCCGAGAAGGTCTGCTTCGTATCCTCGATGAGATCCCTGATGCCGAAGGCGTCGCGAAAGGCAAATTTGACGGGCATGCGTGCGGCGAGAACGTTTTGGTCAGCAAAGTCATGCCACGAAAATGCATACCAATGCGCGACAGCGAATACGGGCATTTCGATGCAGATCAGAGCGTCCTGTATGGCGGCCGCAAGGTTGTCGGGGGTGTAGCCCTCAACGCTGTCAGGTATAGCACCCAGCCACACCAGAATGGACAGCAGAAACCCCTGCCAATACGACGCGAAGATGATGAGCTTGATGCAGAGGAACTTAGGCACAGGGCGGAACGGCAACAGATCCTGGTGCATGCAGACCCAAAACAAACCCAGTGAGTATAGACTCAGAGTCACGCTGACGTTGTAGACGATGCCACTCCCAGAGATAGCCGGAGGAAAGACCAATATAGCCCTCTTGGTATGTGCCGGTGGCTTTCATGATGATCGAAGCGACGCTGAGGACAGGCTTCAGCCAGGCGTATTGCAAGATTCCGCGTTTGATAGCCAGGAAGGTGTGAGGGTCCGAGATATCGACGCGAGGAAGGACATGGTTCATGGGCCATAGGTGGCTAACAGGCTCACGGCCGTGGGTCATGATAATCAAGGATCGCTCACCACCGAGGTAGTTGATAAGAAGGTGAAAGAAGGTGTAGATCGTAAAGGCCTTGCATGATAATGAGATGGGGGGCAGCGACGCGCGGAGCAGCAGTGTAGACGTACCTCATAAATATCGCGAACGGGATCAACGAACTGCGCGGCCTTCAACGAGATCATGCTTGTCCACGAAGCGATCGAATATATGGGCACCCTATTTCACGGGTTAAGTTGAGCACAACAGACGCGCCGAGGCAGGAAGAAATCCTACATCAACAGGATTCGAACCACATATCGTTGCAGAAGAGGCTTTCGGTAGTTCTTGCTGTATACATCGGACGTTAATCGAAGTTCGAACGAGGGGGTATCGGGGTAGAACGAACGCCTGAAGAGTGATGGATCTACGCACAACGATCTAGTTAGCCACATATCCATAGCGTCAACTTGGAAGCGCTGCCATAGAGCTTACACAATAGAAAGAAGCGTGGCGACCAGAGCTGCGACGCCTGCGACTATCGTCGTCGCAGTCGTGAGCTTCTGACCAGTACCACCAGCCATGTTTAATGCCGAGCGAGATGGATGTGTCGATGCGAGTATCGTCTCTCGTTATTCTGCGCCTTCAGTCATGGCAGTATTCCGATGACTGAAAATGTGGCTGTGTCTTGGGTTTGGGCGAAGCGTGGAGGTCAAATCATTCAGGCAGGCAGCAGCTTAAGATGCAAGTGATGATGGATGACGATGGCCGCGAGATGATGCGACAGCTACCTTTGGAGCTGGTGCTGGTGCCCTTCTGGTTGTGTTGAAGTCACAGGTCACTGGTTGCGCCTGTCGCGTGGGGTAATTAGGTACGTACTTGACCTCACGTACCTGCCTTTAGGTGCTTGAGCTAAAGCTCCGGGGGTCGTTAGCGTGGAACCTCATGCCCAGCGCGTCATCCCAGCACTTTGGACGTCCAAGGTCTGAAGGTGTCTGTTCCGAGTGGCTCGTGGCTCAGTCAAGGCGTTGTTCTATTGAAGCGATCGACAACAGCTTCAGGGAAAACATTCGAACGAACACCAGAAGCAGCGTCCACTGACAGAAACCCGACATGCAACCCGTCCACACGAATTTCAATGTCAATGGATACATGTTGTCCTGAGAAACAACGAACCACACCCACTTTAGTCCAGAGCCAGCATCCGCATCGGCCGACTCTCCGAGCAATGGCAGACGGGAGGACTACACGAGCCGACTGATCGACGCGGGCAGTGAGCTGAAGGTCTAGCCAGCTGTGCTGTTGCGTGACACGCAGTGTGTACATAAAGATGGCCGACGCCGACTCTCCAAACGACTTCAACCGAATCCCCGAAACCTTGCCACGCTTCAATGGGTATGTTTCGCGGCTACATCGCGACAACGAGCCAGTACTGACACGTTCCCCGCAGCGCCTTTCTCGGATTCATCATTCTAGCTAGCGTATTGTATGTACTCCTTTGCGCCACGAGCCAGAACCGCAATCGGCGCTGACATAACACCAGAGCCATCTTCTTCCTGCTTTACTTCAACAGAGTGTTCAGCTGGTCCATATCCAAGGGTATCAGGGCTTGGTCATGGCACAAACACCGAATACACATTGATATCCAGGCGTTACAAATATCACTCCTCGGCGGCCGCATTTTCTTCACCGGTCTCAAATACCATGGAAACAACGAGGCCTTCCACATACAGCACGGCTATATCACTTGGAGATACTGGCTGCGCCGTGTCAGGGACGTGGACATAAAAGACTCTAAGAGGAACGACCATCAACTGGGAGGCGAGTCTCCCAAAAAGCGGGAAAATAAGAAGGAGCTGCCTTGCCGTATTACCGTCACAGTGGCTGGCCTTGAATGGTTTGTCTACAACCGGACGCCTGTGTATGACGGTATTCTGGCAGGCCTGACAGGAAACAAAACTGAGGATGCCGCAACAACAGGGACAAGCGAGGAGACGACCGCGAACTTGCGTAATCGAGGCTCTAGGTTGTCCGAAAAGCTAGGAGATGACAGTCAGCCAGTACCAGTGAGCAACCACGGGACCAAGAACACCTCCAGCACGCCTGGTGCGCCGGATTCACCCGAATGGAACAGGCCACAGCAACGCTCTTCGACCGGTCGCTCCAGCTCTTCAGACTTGTACACGGGCTCGAGGACGTCGGCAGAATCTCAATCTGACCTACCTGCCATGCTGCAATTGTTCCCGATCTACATCAGTTGCCAGAAGGCAGCACTTGTGGTTGGGAATGAAAACACAAAGGCTATTATGGTAGTGAAAGCCAACTCATTGACAGGTGAAGTAAACGCATCTGCCACCAAAGGCCCTGATCCATACAGGCAAGTATTCAAGATCAAATTTGATCGTCCCGTGATTGAGATGAAAGACAACGAGGACTACAAAGAAGACCAAGTTGTGAGAGCCAGCAAGGGCAAGCAAGAGCCCCAGGGTAGCCACCACTTTGTCAAGGCCGGTTTCCTTATGCGTCACAAGCGGCGTACCCTCGGAAGGCTTCGAAGTCTTGTTCCGTACTGGCGCAAATCCGTTGAGTCCTTTTTCGTTGACTCGGGAGCCACGGCCGGGGCAACAGCAACGCACGTTCCCTCTTCGGGCCAGTGGCAAGGACTCGCTCGCTATTTGGATGACGACGATCGGGATTCAAAGACGCGATGGTCGAACGTGGAATATGCAGCAGCGACAACTTTGATCGACAGTCCAGAGGCAACCCTGACTGTATACTGGGATTCTCCCGCCAGGATCACCGACGAATTGGCCAGTCGACGGACGAACAAAGGAAATGCCGTTTCGAACATTAATGGCGCTACATCCCCAGAATGGGGCATCAACCTGTCTCTCAAGGGTGGCACTGCCAACTACGGGCCGTGGGCAGATCGCCGTAGAGCAGATTTGCAACGGGTCTTTATGCCCGGATTATCGAAAGATGCCACGCCAGCAAAGCCCCTGCCTACGGGCGCCTTCCGTGTTTCAACACAGTTCAAGCTCTATGTGGAGCTAGAAGAAGAATTGACTCTAAGAATACCGACCAGAGAGACTTCCAAGAATTGGCGATGGAAGGGTAAAGAGCCGACTACCAAGGATGATCGTCCGCACCAAACCAGAAAGCAGAGGGCGAAGGCCAAGAAACACAGCAAGGGGGACGCGGCCCCCCTCCGGCCCGCCGGCTGGCTGGATTTCAAGATTGCTGCGAATGCCACGATTTCCTACTTGATGGACTCGGTTGCTGGCACGCACGGCTACAAGATGGGCCTGGACCTAGATTTACCAGGCACTGAACTCTCCAGTAGTGTCAATCACGAGTTGCTGTGGCGTTCAGGGGCACAGCGAGTACGCTGTGATCTTTCTACTCCGTTGAGTTGGAATGCTCTACGGTCTTGGCACTTCAACGTCTCAGCAAACGACATGGAATTGTTCCTACTCAGAGATCATGTTTTTTTGCTCATTGATCTCGTTGACGACTGGGCTAGCGGCCCGCCTGCGGAGTATCTGGTGTTCACTCCTTTCCGCTACAATATGAACATCGATCTCAGAAACTTCAAACTCTACCTAAACGTCAACGATGGCAACATCATTAACAAACCTAAAGATCTGGACGACAATGCATACCTCGTGCTGTCAACTCCTGTTCTAGCATCCCAAGTCTGCATTCCTATCGACAAGTACCGGCCCAGCAAGAATACAATCCCCTTCGATATCAAAGCGGAGTCCTTCTCGCTCGCATTGCACGTACCCCCCTGGAACACACAAGCGTCATTCCTTGCTTCCAAAGAGGTTGGACAGGGCGAAAATTTGACAGTCAATGGTGGCTACACCTACAATGCAACTACCTCGCCTGCTAACACAGACATACTCACTCTAAACGTCTCTGGCCAATCTCCCACGGCTACGATACATGGCTTCATTATAAGATATGCTTTGAAGCTGAAAGATAACTACTTTGGAGACGACGTTCATTTCAAAACACTGGACGAGTACCAAGAGACATTGCAGCTAAGAGAGCGCGACCCGGAGGCGGAGGCAGCACTCCGACCACCACCGAAAAAGTCCAATGACCTTGATGTGGTCCTCCATGTTCGGGTCGATGACACACGATTGCTGATACCCGCAAATCTATGGTCTACAAAACGCAACATCCAAGTCGAGTCTGCCAGCATCACTGCTGATCTGCGGTTTACCAACTATTATATGGATTTGGAACTCGCTGTGAGTCCTCTGAATCTATCACTAGGTACTAGTGATTCAGGAATGGAGACACCCATCAGTGCTACAAGTAGTACGCAACTTTTTATCGACGGCTTAGGAATCTATGGTCATCGCCTCTTTGGACTGCCGCCAACAGAGCCAACGTATCTCTGCAATTGGGACCTTTCTGTTGGAACTGTAACAGGCGAATGTACAGCCGACTTCTTGGCGGCCCTTATGCGCGGTGGTCAAGTCTTTGGGTTTGAGTTTGACGACGACGAGAACGCTTTGATACCATATTCCTCCATCGTTATGTACGATGTCACGTTTCTCCGCGTTGTAGTCCAGTCGGTTCGAGTTTGGCTTCATGTGGAGGAAGCGGCATTCTTGCTTTCTACTGAGACTATCGACGTCAAATTCAACGACTGGGCGCGGACGCACTACTCGAAACGCGCAAGATATTCCGCATCCCCAACCTTCA